GAGCTAATAGATGCTAACTAAGTTTTTTGTGGCAATCATTTCACAATATATGTTAGTCAAGCCATTATGCTGTACACCTTAAACTTATATAGTGATGTCAATTATATCTCAAAATAAAACAAGAAAAAAACCCTATTTCTCTCTATCGAGGTATTCTAGAATGTTAGAGAGGGACTTCTGGGTGGCTCAGTCAGTTAAGTGCCTTTGGCTCAGGTCATGATCCCAGGGTCTTGGGACGGAACCGCATCACACCATGCTCCCTGCTCAGTGGGGAGCTTGCTTCTCCTTCTCCCTCTGCTTCTCCCCCACACCTTCTCTCTAATAAATAAAATCTTAAAAAAAAAAAGAAATTCTAGAGAATAAAAGACCATTTGCAAACCACTAACGAAAAAGTGGAACCACACGGTTAATAGAGCAGAATCAGTGATAACCAAACATAGGCGCCCTGATGGAAAGAAAAATACATCATCACCTATGAATTATATCTGTCCTCTCCCCCCCCCACACTGTCCCTACTCTCAGAAATCAAACCTGAACTAATCTAAGTATGCCTGAAGTCTCCAATTTAGCTACTAATTTATAGGAAATACAGGGAATCAAGGGACATGTTGAACTAGAACATGTTAAAACTATTCCAGAGGGACATAGTCAAGAAGATCCAGGATGAGGGAAATTTTAGGAAAAACTAACCTGGTTTCTTCAGCAAAGAAATTATGAGGAAAATGAGAAAGGAAGAAACTGTAGATAAAAAGACATACCAGGGCAGCCCGGGTGGCTCAGCGGTTTAGCGCCACCTTCAGCCCAGGGCCTGATCCTGGAGACCCAGGATCGAGTCCCATGTCAGGATCCTTGCATACAGCCTGCTTCTCCCTCTGCCTGTGTCTCTGCCTCTCTCTCTCTCTCTCTCTCTCTCTCTCTCTCTCATGAATAAATAAATAACATCTTTAAAAAATAAAAGACATACCAACCAAATGTAAATGTGTGACTATGTTTGGATCCCAAATCAAACAAATCAATTATTTAAACACAACTTGGGGAAGGGGGGCACCTGGGTGGTACAATTGGTCGAACATCCAACTCTTGGTTTTGGCTCAGGCCGTGATCTAAGGGTTGTGAAACTGAGTCCCATGTCAGGCTCCGCACTCAGCATGGAGTTGGCTTGAGTTTCTCTCCCTTATTTCTCTGCCCCTCCCCACCACCTTGCTTTCTCTCCCTCTCAAATAAATAAATAGACCTTAAAAAACAAAAAACAAACTTAGGGGTATGCCTGGCTGGTTCAGTCAATGAGAGCCTGTGACTCTTGATCTCAGGGCCTTGAGCTCAAGCCCCATGTTGGAAGTACAGCTTACTGAAAAGAAAAGAAAAGAAAAGAAAAGAAAAGAAAAGAAAAGAGAAACCAACTGAGGAAAATTTGAATATTGCCTGGTTATTTGGTGATGTTGATTTTTACAAGTGAGAAAACAGTATGTGGTTGATTTTTTTTAGGACTATCTTTTAGATAACTGAAATATTCACAGACGAAGTAATTATATATGTAGCCATTATTTCAGAATAACCCAGTAGAGCAACTGTGGGGGTGTAGAAAAGGGTATAGATGAAACACTGGCTCCTGTGTTTGAAATTTTCGATAATAAATTGTTTAAAGCAGAATAAGTAAGAAAAAACATCATTATCAATAACACTAACAGAACTACAAAGAAGACAGGAATGGATTTGTTTCATTTGCAGCCCTGGGCTAGCCATACAATGTCATAGTTGCCCCCACTGCTTAAATGGAGACCTATACCATCTAATAAAGCATAAAATCATATTTGGTCAAGTTAGAAACCTCAGAGATATCATTAACTCTGGCTGGCCCAGTCTCCTACCTCTGGCTCCACCACTGAATCCTGTTTTCCCCTCTCTTTCGTCCTCCCACTACTGTCTATCTCTATGGTCTCACAGACTCCCAACAGCCTCCTTTCAACCCGTTTCCCACACTGTATACAGAGTGATGACCCTAAAATGCAAAATCTGATCCCCAATCCCACTTACAACCCTTAAACTGCTTTTGATCAGCTTCCAGGCCAAGAGTGCTTCTCTAAATTTTTAAACTAGTCCCTTCCCTAACCCTTTAAAATGACTTATAAGGCCTTCCATTTTCTGAGATCATCTACCTCTCCAACTTCCATCTGTCCCTAATTTCCCTTTTCCCTCTTATGCTTTAGCTCTGATAAATTCTTGCAGTTTCTTCTAATGTACCTGTACTCCGACTGCAGTTTCAGCATTCGTGTCGGGAATGCTCTACCATCACTTCCTTGCCTAGTTAGCTCCTTTCTTTTTTTTAATTTTTATTTATTTACGATAGTCACAGAGAGACAGAGAGAGAGAGAGAGAGAGAGAGAGAGAGGCAGAAACACAGGCAGAGGGAGAAGCAGGCTCCATGCACCGGGAGCCCGACGTGGGATTCGATCCTGGGTCTCCAGGATCGCGCCCTGGGCCAAAGGCAGGCGCTAAACCGCTGCGCCACCCAGGGATCCCCCTAACTTTCAAGTCTAAAAAGTTAAGCAGCATTTGCTCAGAGAGGCCTATCCAGTTTGCTTTCACACTAGGTTGGGTGTCTTCTCACACATACAGAATACACTTTTGCTTGTTCCATAGGAACCTGTACTCTATCTATCTGTACATGTGATTACTGTTATTTATCTGCTCTCCAGTTAAACCACAAACTCTAGGAGGGATAGGGCCAGAACTTGTTCACTGCTGAATACTAAATCTCTCATGGTGCCTAGTAACTAAGAACAAATTGCTGAATACATAAATATTCACAACTCTGGTCTGTTTTTCTCATATCCAAGGTTCCATCTTTCTGGTCTTCCTCTGCAACAATAACAGACTGGCCATAAAGGCATTTATAGGGACCTAAATTCTACATAGGAATGCATTATAAAGTGGACTGAAAACACAATGGAAATGAAGAACATAAACTGGAAAAGTTTCTCAAGATACCCATTTTAGTATAAAATAATTTATATCCACATTAGCAATTTTACAGAAAGCTCAAGAGTAGGGACGTCTGGGTGGCTCAGTCAGTTAAGCGTCTGCCTTCAGCTCTGGTCATGATCTCAGGGTCTTGGGATTGAGCCCTGACGGGACTCTCTGCTCAGGAGGGAGTCTGCTTCTCCCTCTCCTTTTGGCCCTCCAACCCATTCATGCTTGGTCTCAAATAAATAAATAAAATCTTAAAAAAAAAAAAAGCTCAAGAGTGCTAACCTAATTAAATAGGAGTCAAAAGACACATTAATTCCCACACAAACATCAAGTTTTCACACCTACAATGCCAAGTCCCTTAACTTCTGCAACTTCAGTTTCCTAATCTGTAAAATAAGGGAACCTAACTAGCTGGTTATTAAGATATTTTTCAGGGTTAATATTATAAGTATTAACATTTAGAAGATAAAAAGACATGTAAACCACTGAAACACTATCAACTGTTTCATCCTATGACCCTTTTTATCCTTGTTTTTTTTTTTTTTAATCTGTTTAGGGATATTATAGCCTATTATGTTAAGCTTACAACCAAACCTTTAAACCTATTCAGCTATAAAAATCTCACAAAATGCTCTGCAGACCATTAAGTTGCATATTTTACAAGTCACTGCAATTTGATTAAAGAACAGCATTTATCTAAACCCTAAATTACTGAAGTATGTTAAATTTTTAAATAATACCTATCCATTACCTATATTAAAGGCTAGATGTCTTGAATTCCCGATATTTTCTATGGCAATTTGAAGGCAAAGTCATACATCAGGGCTAAGACTTGGACTTATGGGTACTCCTGAATGCCAAACGAAAAAGATACATAGTCTCTAATTCACTGCAGTTCTGGTAAACGACATTGACATTATTAATGCCTAATTCCTACTCATACTCTTCCAAACTCTCACACAATTCAGAGTTCACCCTGTAATGGCATTCCAGTAGTTACTAAGCCCACATTTGTTTTGTCAGGGCACTGGCGTGTACGCATTTTATTTCGAAACCCGGAATAACTTTTGGAAAAAAAAAATTTCAAAATTCGTTATGGTAAAGAGTAACTAAACATTCTACTGTTATCAACAGACACCTAGTTCTTATAAGCAAACGCTGGAAACTCGGGTAAAGTAGAAATTCGTTTGCTTCTTGGTCCAAAATAATTACACAGTAGTTTTGGCCACTGCTTGTCACACCAAGTGAGTCGTGACAAAGAAATGAGACTCTAAAATGCACGTGGGGGAAAAAAAAAGATGTACTTGGAACAAAACGCGTGCATCTGACCGAGTGTAACGCTCTCCTCAGATTCCTCGCTGAGGGCCGCCTTCGAGACCAGGAGCGCGAGGGCGCTGCAGCCGCCGTTCAGCAGCCACAGGTTGAATGACAAAGAGTCCTCGTCGGCACCAGTCCCGACCCTCCGCAAAGTCCGCTGGAGCCCTGCAGTCACGTCTCGGCGGCGGGGACTGCGGCTCCCACACCACTGTCGCAAGTCACCAGGTGGGGCGAGGATTGGCTGGCCGGGGCGGCTGGGGCGGGCGTGCCACGAGTCCCAAATAACTCCCGCCCCGAGTCCCTTCCCTCGGAGCAGGACGCGGCCAGGAGAGCGCACGGGCACCACGTGAACCAGCCCCACGTCGTCCCTTCTCCAAGTCAAAAGCATCTCTTGAGGCGGCTCCCGAACGCTAGAGGAAACGCTTCTTGCCCAAGGTCACCGGCACCCAAGCCCAACTCCGCCGCCAGGCCGGCGGCCGGCACCTGACTACGGGGCCGCAGCTCGGCAGGGCGAGGCGCTGTCGGCATCGCCTCCAGGTCTCCTTCCCCAACGCCGCGCTCCGGCACCACGCGGCTGCCCGCCGCCACGATGCCCCGCCGGACCGCCCCCGCCCCCGAGACCCAGGTCTGCGCCCCGAGGCTCCCTCCCGCCCCACGGCAGGGGTACGGCGGGGTCCGCGCCGAGCTCCGCCGCCGGCCGTTATCCGACTAACCGTTATGCGCGGCTCGCGCCGCCGAGCGTGTACGTGACGCGCCTGGAGTTCCGCAGGGCCCGGGGCCAGGTCGCGTCCTTCGCCGGCTGCCTCGCTCGCTCACCGGGCACCCACGCGGCCGCCGGGTCACGTCGCAGCTCGCCAGCACTTTGTCGGGGCCGGGCCCGCGGGGCCGCCTTATAATCGGCGGGGCCGGAGCATGCGCACAGGGGGCGGAGCCGGCCCTCCCGGCCGCCGCCCCCCCCCCCCCCAGACGCCCGAATCGCGACTCGCGCCTCCACACGCTCTGAGGCGCGCGCCCGCCCGCCCGCCCGTCCGCCCGCGCTCCGGCGCGCGCCGCCGCCCCCTCCCCGCCACGTGACCCGCGGCCCTGCGCGACCCGCGCTCGGCGCCCGGCTCTGCTGCGGTCCCCCAGCGCCGCGCGCCTCTGCCGAGCCAGCCCCTCGGGTCCCCAGTCCCAGGAGTTCGCGGTGACCTGCACGCGTGCGGGGCCCCGGCACCAGCCCCCGCCCTCAGTCTCGGGCGGAGAGAAGGGAAAAGCCGCCGAGGACGGATGGGGCGCACCCCCGGGGCCGACTCAGGTGTGGGGGGCGACGGGCGCGCGGAGGAGCGGGGAAGCGCCTGGAGAGGAGGGACGGAGCCGGGTGTGCATCGACTCGGGGGCACCTCGGGCCCGGGAAGAGGCCGCGGGGCGGGCGGTGAGGGCGCGGGCTGTGGCCTCCGCGGAGTTCGGGGAACTCGGGGAAGTCGCTCAAACCCTCAGGGCCTGTTTCCTGTTTTTTAAAATGGCAACAGTAGTAGAACAGACCTTATGGGCGCTTTTGGTGGTTTTGCTAAGAGAACTGATTGAACTTCCTTAACCCAGAGCCAGAGCCTGCCAGCCTCCCGGGGCACTGGGTGAATGCTGGGCGTTCGCCAAACACCGAAGTCGGGGAGGAAGAGCAGGTCGGAGCGGGGCGAGGCGGGTCCCTGGGGAGAGGGGGTGTGTGTCGGAAACAGGGAGACGCGAGAACGCAGAGGCCAAGTTTTTATGGACACTGAATGTTCGGGACAGGATGTGATTAGCGCCAGCAGTTCTGAGGGACCAGTGATGTGCTAAGCACTTCACCTGAATTATCCTCATAACCTTACGAGGTAGCTCACTGTTATTAACATTCCACAAATAAGGGGCTTGAGGCTCAGAGAGGTTAAGTGACTTTCCAGAGGTCACAGAGTAATTGACCAACACCCAAAGCCAGACTCCAGAGCCTGGTTTTGTTCTAAGAGCCATTGTAAGTTCTTGAGCAAGTTAGAGCCCTGGAAGTGTTATCAGCTTAAATGATCAGCTTCAATAAACATGAGGTGGCTCTTATGTTGGCTTTTGGGAAATACCAAAAACGTATGAAGGCCTCCCTGCCTTCCAAGAGTCTGCAAGTTCTTTGGGGAGATTGAGTCAGGGAGAAAACCACCAACACCGGATTACCACTTGCTATTTGCCCCAAACCAGCCCCTTCTACCCTGAATTGTCACAGCCCTGGGGAGTCGGCCTTAAGGTTATGTCTTGCAAATGAAGAACTGAGTTTGAGGAGTGAGGATTGAGGGGTCAGGTCCCGAGATGTAAATCTGCTTTACCTTCACCCACTCTGCCTCTGTTTCTTCTTTCTTTCTTTCTTTCTTTCTTTCTTTCTTTCTTTCTTTCTTCTTTCTTCTTTCTTTCTTTCTTTCTTTCTTTCTTTCTTTCTTTCTTTCTTTCTTCTTTCTTTCTTTCTTCTTTCTTTCAAGATTTTATTTGTTTATTCATGAGAGACACAGTGAGTGAGAGAGAGGCAGAGACACAGGCAGAGGGAAAGCAGGCTCCAGGCTGGGAGCCCAATCTGGTACTGGATCCTGAGACTTCAGAATCACGCCCTGAGCAGAAGGCAGGGGCTCAACCGCTGAGCCACCCAGGTGTCCCTCTGCCTCTGTTTCACACAAAGAAGGTTTTCGGTGATAGTTTGGTGCCTCAGAAGACCGTATGGAATCTGTGGCCATGCAGTGCATGTGAGCGGTAACTGCTTTGCACCTTTGATAAATGCAGAGGAGGAAGGCATTTCAGGATTTAGAACAGCAGTGCTTCAGGATTGATGGGGTGGTAGCAGCATTGATGGTGGATGGTAAGAGAACTGAGTTAGGGAGACAAAATGGGACTGATTCAGACATGAACTTTATCAGAGCCAGAACCATAGAATGTAGCGGGAAGTGGTAGAGTAAGTTGATTCCCAGGAAACCTGAATAGGAACTGAGTGGGGTAGCTTTATAATATCAACCCAGAAACCAGATCTGAGTTCCAATTTTGATACTTGTCATCTACAAGCTCTGTATCGTTAGACAAATTATTTTGCTCTCCAAGCCTCATTCTCTGTGAAACAAGGATAATACCTACCTCATAGGGTTTTTATAATAATAAAAATAGTATTTTACTTAAGTCTGGCATATAGTAAGCACTAAATAATTGTATAACTATGGAAAACCATGAAACTGGATCCTAGAGATTAATCCTAAAAGCACTTCATTTGAATAGATTCCTTCCATGGCCCTAAGGGGGGCCCTAACAGTGGGTTCACAGGATCATATTGGTGTTCTATGGTAATTCTGTATTCCTTTTCTTGAAAATGTCCACCAAAATTGTATACACCTCAGGCTGCACAAAATCTGGATCTGCTCTTAGTAGGAACTGTAGTGTTGTAGAAAGAGTATAGATGTTGGAATCAGAAGGTTTGTTCCCATATCTTATTATTTGTGTTACTTTGGACAATTAATTCATTGAACTCTTCTGGGCCAGGTAAAATCAAGGTAATATATGCCAGCCTGAGCTGCTGCGATAATCAAATAAAGAGTGTTTGCAGAAGGGGTTGGTAAAACTTGGAAAGCACTCGACAAGTGTTTGTGAGTGCTGACAATGACAATACAATTAATATTGTAATGTGTTTATAAAGTGCTTAAGAGGAAGAGGTCAGAAGCAGGGGAAAGGGTGTCAGCTTAAAAAGTAGAAATAGAATGGGTGAGCTGGCAAAACTGATAAAATGATACAGGTAGGGGGATCCCTGGGTGGCTCAGCGGTTTAGGGCCTGCCTTTGGCCCAGGGTGTGATCCTGGAGTCCCGGGATCAAGTCCCACGTCGGGCTCCTGGCATGGAGCCTGCTTCTCCCTCCTCCTGTGTCTCTGCCTTTCTCTCTATGTCTATCATAAATAAATAAATCTTAAAAAAAAAAAAACTTAAAAAAATGATACAGGCAAAATTCTTGCTTTCCTGCCAGATTTCTTCTGATTAGAGAAATTGAAGAAATAAACTAGTAAGCACAGGATCAGAATTAGAGCTGAGAAATTTTACAGAATGGAAATTAAGGCCCAGAGAAGCCAAAAGGCTTTTTGACCACTCATCTAATAAGTGGCAGGATCAGAAGAACCAGATCTGCAGGCTCTGGGGTCTTCTTACTGTACCAAGTGTGGTGGGGTTTTTTTTTTTTTTTTTTTTGCTTTTTTTGTTTGTTTGTTTTTTGCTTTTGAAAAGCTGTCCTTTTTTTTTCCTTAAGATTTTATTTATTTGAGAGAGCTGGGAGGGAAGGGCAAAAAGCAGAGGGAGAGGGACAAGTGGACTCCACGATGAGGGCGGAGCGTGACACAGGGCTCTATCCCACGACCCTGAGATCATGACCTGATCCAAGATTGAGTTGGTCACTCATCCAAATGGGCCACCCAGGCACTTCCCAAGTGTGGTTTTTAAAATAAAAAAAAATTCATCATGGAGTCTTTCAAAATCATTACATCAAAGCCAGGGAAGGCATGGCGTCCTTTAGTGGCTTTCGGCTTTAGCATGAAATTCCCCAGTTTTACTTTCCTGTTTTTAAAGCTAATAGATGGATGATGCATGGGTAATCTGCTCTTGGCAAGCTTGTCAAGAGAGCAAAACTTCTGCAGATATTAAGGTAAGAGTTGTAACCTCAGAAATTAGTAATGGGATGAGAATTGCAAATGCAAAAGTTTGAAAATTCCTAACAATAAATTACTATTTAAGTTACCCCATTGATTTATATAGAAAAGAAATATAATAAAATTAGAGTATATATTTTCTGGAATGTACATACCTCACCTACATTACCTTAATTCCATCATTTCTTTGCTGGAAGATAACTATTATCCCCATTTCACTAACACCAAACAAAGCAGAAAGGGATTTTTAAAAAATACTATAGTGCTTAATTGGTTAAGAATAATATCCCTTTTATAATTTATAATAACTCAAGGGGGAATATGGAAAATGAAATTTGAAATTTGCTTTGTATCATGTATGAAGAAAAGAGTTTACTAAGCACATAACTAGCGTAAAGGAGATACTGTAATGCTGAAAAGCATTCTTTAAAGCAGAGAACTCTTAGGGCATCTGGCTGGCTCATCTGGTAAAGAGTGCAACTTTCCATCTCTGGGTTGTGAGTTCGGACCCCATGTTAGGCATTGAGACTACTTAAAAATAAAATCCTGGGGTGCCTGGGTGGTGCAGTTGGTTAAGTGTCCTGCTCTTGGTTTCAGCTCAGGTCAGGTCAGGGGGGCTCATCCCATCAAGTGCCCCCCTCATTGCCCGTCACCCTTGACCTGTTTATCTAATTCAGTTTATTTTAACCAAATTGCCTGAGGCTCTGTTTGAATATGGCCATACAGTTCTCATACACTCCATTTCTGGTCTGATATAGCTTATGGTATACTTCTTACTGCTGCTAGCACAGAGACAGTTTTGGCCTAGACTCTTTGTAACCTATATCATTGTTTAAGATCTTTCCTGGCAAGCATTCCTTCTAGGCATTGTCCTACATATTTGCCAGACCTGTCTTACCTCCTTGACGCTGGCTAACCCAAAGTTTCTTCCTTTCCATCTTTAGTATTGTAGGCAGATGGGGTGGGGATTGGAAATCATAATGATAACTTGATGATAGCTAGGATTAGGGAGTGCATACTATATGCCAGGCATTGATCTAAGCACTTTACACATATTAACTCATGTAGTACTCATAAAAATGCTATGAACTAAATACTGTTATAATCCCCATTTTACACATACAGATACAAGAGGTTAAGTAACTTGCTTAAGGTCATATAATCAATATTTTCTGGAATCATCAGGAAGTATTCATCATATAGTTGTCACCA